AAATATTATTGTACTTCACTGGAATTTGTGATTGTCAATGAATGGTGTCCAGGTGTCTATATCTGAACCTTCAATTTTTTTCACTCCAATGGTGTCAAACTTATGTGTACTTAACCTTAACGTCAAATAACACCAGTACTCTACCTCACACACAACGTTAAGGTTATAGGGGGTATAGGGACACGTAAAGGGTAGAGGGACACGTTAAGGGTATAGGGACACGTTAAGGGTATAGGGACACGTAAAGGGTATAGGGACACGTTAAGGGTATAGGGACACGTTAAGGGTATAGGGACACGTTAAGGGTATAGGGACACGTTAAGGGTAAAGGGACACGTAAAGTGTATAGGGACACGTTAAGGGTATAGGGACACGTAAAGGGTATAGGGACACGTAAAGGGTATAGGGACACGTTGAGGGTATAGGGACACGAAAGGGTATAGGGACACGTAAAGAGTATAGCGACACGTTAAGGGTATAGGGACACCTTAAGGGTATAGGGACACGTAAAGGGTATAGGGACACGTAAAGGGTATAGGGACACGTTAAGGGTATAGGGACACGTTAAGAGTAAAGGGACACGTAAAGTGTATAGGGACACGTTAAGGGTATAGGGACACGTAAAGGGTATAGGGACACGTTAAGAGTATAGGGACACGTTAAGGGTATAGGGACACGTTAAGGGTATAGGGACACGTTAAGGGTACAGGAACACGTTAAGCGTATAGGGACACCTTAAGGGTATAGGGACACGTAAAGGGTATAGGGACACGTAAAGGGTATAGGGACACGTTAAGGGTATAGGGACACGTAAAGGGTATAGGGACACGTTAAGGGTTTAGGGACACGTTAAGGGTAAAGGGACACGTTAAGGGTATAGGGACACGTTAAGGGTATAGGGACACGTAAAGGGTATAGGGACACGTAAAGGGTTTAGGGACACGTTGAGGGCATAGGGACACGTTAAGGGCATAGGGACACATTAAGGGTATAGGAAGGGTATAGGGACACGTTAAGGGTATAGGGACACGTTAAGGGTATAGGGACACGTTAAGAGTATAGGGACACGTAAAGGGTATAGGGACACGTTAAGGGTATAGGGACACGTTAAGGGTATTTGGACACGTAAAGGGTATAGGGACACGTTAAGGGTATAGGGACACGTTAAGGGTATGGGGACACGTAAAGGGTATAGGGACACGTAAAGGGTATAGGGACACGTAAAGGGTATAGGGACACGTTAAGAGTATAGGGATACGTAAAGGGTATAGGGACACGTTAAGGGTATAGGGACACGTTAAGGGTATAGGAAGGGTATAGGGACACGTTAAGGGTATAGGGACACGTTAAGGGTATAGGGACACCTTAAGGGTATAGGGACATGTTGAGGGTATAGGGACACGTTAAGGGTATAGGGACACGTTAAGGGTATAGGGACACGTTAAGAGTATAGGGACACGTAAAGGGTATAGGGACACGTTAAGGGTATAGGGACACGTTAAGGGTATATGGACACGTAAAGGGTATAGGGACACGTTAAGGGTATAGGGACACGTTGAGGGTATAGGGACATGTTGAGGGTAAAGGGACACGTTAAGGGTATAGGGACACGTTGAGGGTATAGGGACACGTTAAGGGACACGTTAAGGGTATATGGACACGTTGAGGGTATAGGGACATGTTGAGGGTATAGGGGCACGTTAAGGGTATAGGGACACGTTAAGGATATTGGGACACGTTAAGGGTATAGGGACACGTTAAGGATATTGGGACACGTTAAGGGTATAGGGACACGTTAAGGGTATAGGGACACGTTAAGGGTATAGGGACACGTTAAGGGACACGTTAAGGGTATAGGGACACGTTAAGGGTATAGGGACACGTTAAGAGTATAGGGACACGTTAAGGGTATAGGGACACGTTAAGGGTATAGGGACACGTTAAGGGTATAGGGACACGTTAAGGGTATGGGGACACGTTCAGCAAGATGTAAACTTCCGAGGAAAAGAAACTATACACTTGAAAATTGGATTTGACTAAACAAATTACAAACGTTATCGTAACATTACTAGGTTACAAAACTTGTATACCTGTATCAAATACATCAGCATCGAATTACCATTTCTTGTCTGTTTTATTATTAGCCGTCATCAAACATGGGTGTACACTAGGGCTGAAACGAGTCCAAATTTAAAACCCGGGTATCCGACCCCTTATTACCCGACCCAACCCTAGTATCTGCTGTAGGTCTCAAGAGTTGGGTACAAAATGTCCGACTGAGAATAGTTTCACAGTAGCGCTGGCAAAAAGTATTTAGATTCACAATTTAAACGATCTGGTCATGCATACACGGAAGTTGACAGAAGTTTTATCTTTATTCAAACCTATAAAGGTCAGTAGGAATGGGTGCATAGTCAGAAAGAAATGTGAACGTTAGTGACTTGTACTGTAAGCATGTTTATTTATTTTATTTTTTATTTATTTTAGGGGCAGTCGGGTAGCCTAGTGGTTAAAGCGTTCGCTCGTCACGCCGAAGACCCGGGTTCGATTCCCAACATGGGTACAATGTGTGAAGCCCATTTCTGGTGTTCCCCGCCGTGTTATTGCTAGAATATTGCTAACGGCGGCGTAAAACCATACACACTCACCAGATATTTTTTGTCATTAAACAATATATAATGTGACTATCCACGGGTCCGGATAGTCCTGTGGGTACCCGAGTCCTACTCAGTACCCCCCGACCAAGGTACCCAAGTTACCCGTCCCAGCCCTGGTGTATACTTTCTTTTCTTTTTTTGAGGCAGTTTATAACACAAACTTACCACATGGCGTCACAAAGTTTCAGGTTCATTAAATACACCAGAAGTCCTTGGAACAACACTGCAAATCTTTCAAGAAAACGCGTTTTTCAGGTTGCCTGACGTTCTAATGTTTGTCGACACTCGCGTCTGTCTGTAACACAAGTAGTGACGAATGGCTCCATGCTAGTTATCCAGACAAGGCGTCTATGTTTAAGAACAGGCTCGCTAGACAGGTTGTGACTTCCCACGAAGGCGCAACCCCTAAGCTCTTTGTTATTCATGTTGTTGTCTATTTGTCTCAATTAAATGTTCCAGCAGCCTATTACAGTGCACTGCAAAGATATCTCCGTATCAACATGGGAAGAGGGATGGAGTGAGTGAGTTACAACTTAAAGTCACATCGGCAGTATTTCAGCCATATCGTGACTTTCAAAGGTCGTACATAATAAATACAGGTAAATTATAAAAGCCTGTCAACAACGGAGAGTAAAATGACTAGACTTATCACAGATTGATATTTATAACTGGCCGGGAAACTGAAGTTAGTGACCGCGGTAGTACCAAAAGCCTGGACTAAGTGTACGCGGTAGGACCCAAAGCCTGGACTAAGTGTACGTGGTAGTACCCAAAGCCTGGACTAAGTGAACGCGATAGGACCCAAAGCCTGGACTAAGTGAACGCGATAGGACCCAAAGCCTGGACTAAGTGAACGCGATAGGACCTAAAGCCTGGACTAAGTGTACGCGGTAGGACCCAAAGCCTGGACTAAGTGTACGCGGTAGTACCCAAAGCCTGGACTAAGTGAACGCGGTAGGACCCAAAGCCTGGACTAAGTGAACGCGGTAGGACCTAAAGCCTGGACTAAGTGTACGCGGTAGGACCCAAAGCCTGGACTAAGTGTACGCGGTAGTACCCAAAGCCTGGACTAAGTGAACGCGGTAGGACCCAAAGCCTGGACTAAGTGAACGCGGTAGGACCCAAAGCCTGGACTAAGTGTACGCGGTAGGACCCAAAGCCTGGACTAAGTGTACGCGGCAGGACCTAAAGCCTGGACTAAGTGTACGCGGTAGGACCCAAAGCCTGGACTAAGTGTACGCGGTAGGACCCAAAGCCTGGACTAAGTGTACGCGGTAGTACCAAAATCCTGGACTAAGTGTACGCGGTAGTACCAAAATCCAGGACTAAGTGTACGCGGTAGTACCAAAATCCAGGACTAAGTGTACGCGGTAGGACCTAAAGCCTAGATTAAGTGTACGCGGTAGGACCTAAGTTATGGACTAAGTGTACGCGATAGGACCTAAAGCCTGGACTAAGTGTACGCGGTAGGACCTAAAGCCTAGATTAAGTGTACGCGGTAGGACCTAAAGCCTGGACAAGTGTACGTGGTTGTACCCAAAGCCTGGACAAGTGTACGCGGTAGTACCCAAAGCCTGGACTCAGTGTACGTGATATACCCTACGCTTCGGCTAAATATACGTTGATTAAACTTGGCAAGTCTATAAAGATTGAACAGGATAAAGGTTATGCCTCCATTGCTAATATTCCAAGGAGTTGGAAAACATATGTCATAACTTTTGGAAACACTACACCCCTGAAGTAGATTGGCTAGATTGTTGCTACCAGAAATAATAACTTTCATACGTGCATACAGCACCTTGGGATCAATGGATACGGCGCTTCCTAGCGAGGATAGTCTTGAATTACGTGTATTACAGACCTCTGTCGCGGAATCCAACTCTTGCAGTTTACATAAGTTTCAATAAACCCGGGATTTGCGACAGCTGAAGACCCTCAGGTCGAGACGTTCATGAGGACCAAGATATCAGCGAGAGAGCTCCGTCCTTCACTAAATCTTCCAATGTCTTAACCACAGACACCATCAGAGGATATCCGAATACGCAGCATTATTAAGAAGCTGTTCGGGATGCTGTTTGTGGGGCTCGTGCACTGACAGATGTGTTACGTGGGCTTCAACAGACTGTTTGACTGAAGGCTTGGACAAGGATGGAAGTACTTAATGCAAGCCTCTATATAGTTGGAGCAGTAAAAGATCATTCTACGGACACAACTAATTCAGATATAACAATATTAATAAGTTTGTTCTTGTCTAAGTGCTATACGACACATATATTAGAAAGAATATGGGGTCTCAAAATCAGGAATATCTAGCATCAATCAGGACAAAGTTTGGGTTCGACCATGGAGCAAGACATCTCCAGGCGAAGACAAAGTTCGCAGAACATCTCCAGACAAAGACAAAGATCGCAAAACATATCTAGACAAAGACAAAAATCGCAAAACTTCTCCAGACAAAGGCAAAGTTCGCAAAACATCTCCAGACAAAGACAAAGTTCGCAACACATCTCCAGACAAAGGCAAAGTTCGCAAAACATCTCCAAACAAAGACAAAGTTCGCAAATCATATCTAGAGACAAAGACAAAAATCGCAAAACATCTCCAGACAAAGACAAAGTTCGCAAAACATATCTGGACAAAGACAAAGCTCGCAACACATATTTCAGACAAAGATAAAGTTCGCAACACATCTCCAGACAAAGGCAAAGTTCGCAAAACATCTCCAAACAAAGACAAAGTTCGCAAAACATATCTAGAGAAAAAAAGACAAAAATCGCAAAACGTCTCCAGACAAAGACAAAGCTCGCAACATATCTCCAGACGAAGACAAAGTTCGCAAAACATATCTAGACAAAGACAAAAATCGCAACACATCTCCAGACAAAGGCAAAGTTCGCAAAACATATCTAGACAAAGACAAAAATCGCAAAACATCTCCAGACAAAGACAAAGCTCGCAACACATCTCCAGACAAAGACAAAGCTCGCAACACATCTCCAGACAAAGGCAAAGTTCGCAAAACATCTCTAGACAAAGACAAAAATCGCAAAACATCTCCAGACAAAGACAACGCTCGCAACACATCTCCAGACAAAGACAAAGTTCGCAAAACATCTCTAGACAAAGACAAAAATCGCAAAACATCTCCAGACAAAGACAAAGCTCGCAACACATCTCCAGGCAAAGGCAAAGTTCGCAAAACATATCTAGACAAAGACAAAATTCGCAAAACATCTCCAGACAAAGACAATGTTCGCAACACATCTCTAGACAAAGACAAAGTTCGAAAAACATCTCCAGACAAAGGCAAAGTTCGCAAAACATCTCCAAACAAAGACAAAGTTCGCAAATCATATCTAGAGACAAAGACAAAAATCGCAAAACATCTCCAGACAAAGACAAAGTTCGCAAAACATATCTGGACAAAGACAAAGCTCGCAACACATATTTCAGACAAAGATAAAGTTCGCAACACATCTCCAGACAAAGGCAAAGTTCGCAAAACATCTCCAAACAAAGACAAAGTTCGCAAAACATATCTAGAGAAAAAAAGACAAAAATCGCAAAACGTCTCCAGACAAAGACAAAGCTCGCAACATATCTCCAGACGAAGACAAAGTTCGCAAAACATATCTAGACAAAGACAAAAATCGCAAAACATCTCCAGACAAAGACAAAGCTCGCAACACATCTCCAGACAAAGGCAAAGTTCGCAAAACATATCTAGACAAAGACAAAAATCGCAAAACATCTCCAGACAAAGACAAAAATCGCAAAACATCTACAGACAAAGACAAGCTCGCAACACATCTCCAGACAAAGGCAAAGTTCGCAAAACATCTCTAGACAAAGACAAAAATCGCAAAACATCTCCAGACAAAGACAACGCTCGCAACACATCTCCAGACTAAGGCAAAGTTCGCAAAACATATCTAGACAAAGACAAAAATCGCAAAACATCTCCAGACAAAGACAAAGCTCGCAACACATCTCCAGACAAAGACAAAGCTCGCAACACATCTCCAGACAAAGGCAAAGTTCGCAAAACATCTCTAGACAAAGACAAAAATCGCAAAACATATCCAGACAAAGACAAAGTTAGCAACACATCTCCACACAAAAACAAAGTTTGTAATAAATCTTATAAATAAGACAAAGAACTTAAGATGTCTGCTATACGCACGACCTTCGTAGGACACTTAATGTACCCCGAGATCACTCACCTTAGTTCGAGACTGTCATTATACCTACAGTAGATTGTATATGCTTCTAAATCGGAATATGTTAGGGACACTGAGCCTGCTAAACATTTACCAAAGGACTATAATGACGATATGCTACATAAGATATCCATCAAATACATCGAGGCTTTCAAACCAAACGTTCCTCGTCGACTTGAACATTCCAACAACACCTTGAAATAGCCTCACGTCCAAGGGTTCCTTATGAACTGGCCCCACAGCTGGAATGTTACGAAACTGTGCCTGAAAGTACCCGATACAGTTTCTTGGCGACATGTTCGATGATGATAAGCTTCCATAACAAGGAACTCCCATAGAGTTTATCCTCTTTCGAACTATTTTAATAAGATCCGTTATCAAAGTACACTTTATAAATGGCTGCAGACTTCGCGGGAGACGTTGGTGGGCGTGAATACAGAGATGGAAGAAATATCACAAGTAAAATGCAAGGTATAAGTAGAGCGACTTGGTCATACAGTGATAACAGGCTTCCCCCCCTACCCCCGCCACTGTCGCTATCTTCGTCCTATCATTCAGTTGCACGTTCGCTGGGAAAATTGAAGCATTTCTGTATGATTCCGTCTGAAAGAATCCCTACAAATCACAAAGTGTACGAGTTTATCCAGTCGGGTAAATACGAATCTATCATTTAGTAAATTAGGCGGTACGCATTGGTCCTTTGCCATTCCACTACGATTGAAGGCAATATTAATCATACACAATACCGCCGGAGTATGACGTCACACAATACGCCAGTCCGCACACTGCGACCAGCCTGTCCTTATTACTGTCACAGAGTGACTTAATAGAACTCTGGACAAACGTATTATCTTTTAAGAATGATAGCTTCTGAACTACTTCCCTTTAATTTCCCTTGTACATACGCGTTGACATTTTCATGCGGCTCTTCGGACTACTGAGACCTATTCTCACCGGAAATGTCCTTACGATTATTGGTGAATAAAGATCGTAATTTCTATCTTTTGCGCGTCATACGACGAGAATTCTGATTATTTTTTAAGATCTGATTGATAAGAACAAACAATCTATTTGTGTTAATCGTTCGTCTCCCGTCGGGGATCAGCATGTTAGTTAGTCGTGAAGATCCGGGGTAGAATAGGTCTTCAGCAACCCATGCTTGCCGTAAGAGGCGACTATGCTTGTCGTAAGAGGCGCTTATTTAATGGGATCGGGTGGTCAGGTTCGCTGGCTTCATTGATGCATGTCATCGTATCCTAATTGGACCCGTGAAGATCCGGGGTAGAATAGGTCTTCAGCAACCCATGCTTGCCCTAAAAGGCGACAATGCTTGTCGTAAGATGCGACTAACTGGATCGGGTGGTCAGGCTCGCTGACTTGGTTGATGCATGTCATCGTATCCCAATTGCGTGGATCGATGTTCATGATTTCGATCACTGGACTGTCTGGTCCAGACTCGATTATGAACAGACCGCCGCCATATAGCTGGAATATTGCCGAGTATGGCGTTAAACAAACACACAAACAAAACGATGTTGCTAGCGAAACATCGGCTTGAAAGAAGACATCACATATCCTGGAGTTCATCTGAGCAACGTATGAGAGCGTAAATCTCTAGCTATCTTAATAACTATTGATTTTACTCACACAAGAAGGACTTGAATATAATAAACACCGTCTCTAAAAATCAATATATGTCTTATGAAGGCTGATAAAGTATGTGTTCTCCCCACATAACTGACACCTAGTGGTTATAACATGAACCATACATTTGTTGAAATAAAAAACCCACAAACTTTCACATATGTTTTCCATCACATCACGTCTATTTCTGACACATGTTCTGTCATTTTCTGACATTTCCTTGAAAACTAACAAGTTTGCTTGCTAAGGACAAAATATAAAACAAATTAAGGAAGGGTGTGAACGACGTGAGTTACACGTACTAACGTTTCTGTGTCTAACCAACAGTAACGAGGCCATTAATAGTATCTGCCTCGCGTCACCCCTGGGAGGGTAACGGCTGCATCAAACCCCCTGCCAGTTGTGTCATGCTAACAAGCCGGAACTAGAACCACATAAATCCATTTTGTATTGATACGTTTTTTGACAAGACACACGGTGCGTGAATAATGAACTTCGGTTAAAATGTACACTTCCGGTCAGACAACGTGATATCTGGTTATATTTATACTGCAATTATTATCAATCAACTTACAAGGCGACGTCATGTAATTGCACACCCCACTGTTTACTCCTCGTAATGATGACGATTCATTAGCGGCTCACCGCTGAATATTCCATATAACGCAGTTTCTTGATTTGTGACTAAAATGTTTCATTGTGATAATTATGATTAATGGGGTCTCCTTTGGGAGGCCAGGGAGCATTGGGAATCACATATGGATGCTGCAAAACAATTACACTCTCCCTTGTGAACAATCCTGAGTCCATCGCAGCCTTCGTTTAGAACGTATGTAGTCAACATGCCTACCCAAACAGGCTAAAACAACGATCTATACTACTAAAAAAAGTCAAAGAACATCCGATTATTTTCATATGACTATAGCAAATCTGTCATGGCATGACAGATTATCTCTGGTCATTTGAAAAATCGTATGTTCTTTAAAATGATAGATTCATAAATCTCAAGAAGGACCACACAGGGATTTAAAACAATGTGCCATGAAGGACTATGATTACCCCCAATACGTGACAGATATCCTTCTTCTATACATCTTCTCATATCATATTTCGGATACGCACCGAGGTTTTCAGAATAAGAATACACCTCTCACCGGAAATACACCTCGGAGTTAATTATTTGGCAGCCATTTCGATCGTCAGATTTCCTTCCGCCAGATCGGAATTATTTTTCGACTTTAAGACTAGTCCATGTCTTGAGTGGCCTTACCGATATGAGATTAAAAAGAAATGTTTTAATCCACTTTCAAACAATAATGAGCTGTTAAAAAATGTCATACATTAGAGAACGGATGCTGAAATATTCTTGGTCGATCTCACAGAAGGAGTTCAAGAAGGCGTACACAGGAATCCTGACGCTAATGCACAGTTTGTGTTGTTCAATTATGCAGGATAGTTCACGAAACTGTCACCCTGGTACTTCTCGACCCATAAAGTTGTTAATTACCCCGACCGAGGAAATGAGGTGCTGAAAACGACGTAATACATCATGTTCAAGGTCAGTAATGGGCCGCCTTCGCTCTGAGAAAATGGTTTCAGAAATTTGAACTGATAACTGAAAACATTTAAGCTCATTTCCACTTATAGCCCCGTGATCGCTAATGTTTAGTCTGGAGTGGTCGGGTAGCCTAGCTGTTAAAGCGTTCAGTCATTACGCCGAAGACCCTACAATGTGTGAAGCCCATTTCTGGTGTCCCCCGCCGTGATATTGCAGGCATATTGCTAAAAGCAGCGTAAACCTATACTCACTCACTCACTGATGTTAAGTCTATTGAATAAAAGCGACAAAAACCTTTTTTAAATGTTTTTCTTTTTCAAGTACGCACACACATTAAAGAACAGCCACATCATATATAAACATTCAGATATGAAGAGATATAACGTATATTAATAACAACATTGTAACATAGTTAGACAACTGATGGTAATACAAAGGAATAAACATCCACTACATTCTATGTATATCAATATATACTTTATACATATACATAGTGTTACGCTAACTTATTGTAATAGCATTCATTATTAAGCTTTTGTCTGTACTGTGTATTCATAGCTTTCGGGCATGGGGGCCTCACTCTGGCAAGTGTGGGTTCGAATCCCGGACGGGACTCAACCCTCCAAAAGTACTTGAATCTGTACTTTACTAAGAAAGGGTTATCCCAAACATAACATTTGTTACTTTTGTCTGTACCATATATACTCTTTAAAAAAAGAAACTTGACACAGATGTAAAACCACTTTTTGCCAAATATCTAAAATAATTACATTAAATGAGAACCAAATAAGTCAAACCGAAAGATGATGTTTGTATAGTTCGCGAAAACATGCAAAGCACATAAACTTAGCGTTTGGGGATCAATTTTACAGCTTCATCCAAACGCAACCGCCTGTAAAAAACGTGCAGCACAGGATCCTGCATTTAGGCATGCAGGCCCCCTGCTGAATGGGTATAAAAATCCACATCAACGGCTGTTCATACAGTCCTTATCACTGCAGTAGAGGCGGTGACAGAATGCCAAGACTGAATGCAGCTCAACGGAACAACGCCATTGGGAGATTACAAGCTGGAGCAACTCAGCAAGAAGTGGCCAGGCACTTTGGCGTATCAAGACAGACAATCTCCGCACTGTGAACCCGATACAACAACACCAAAAGAGTTGACGACAGACCAAGGTCAGGAAGACCAAGGGTGACAACCCAAGCACAAGATCGATACATCCGGCTGCGACACCTCCGAGACCGCACTACCACAGCCACGTCTACAACCACACAGATCCCTGGGGTACGCAGAATATCAGATCAAACGGTACGCAACAGACTGGAGAGGCTGGACTTTTTGCACGGAGACCTGTTCGACGTCATGTATTGACCCCACGTCATCTGGCGGACCGTCTGCTTTGGTTCCAAAAGAGGTAAGAT